AAACCCATTTATATCATTAAAGTATTGATAGTGGAACAATTGTAATATTTATGTGTTGTTTATCATTTTGCAGTGACATCGATAGTGCTGCGAACATTCTGTCTGTGATGCGGGAATCAGGGATCGAACCGGGCCCTGACACGTACGTGTCGCTGCTGAATGCTTATGCTGAGAGGGGAGATCTGGACAGTATGAACAAGGTTTGTGTCGTTGGTGCATATTCCGTTTGTGTTCAGTGAATTGATGAACCTTTTGAATTACTCCCGTGCTTCAATTTGTACTCCAACCTTTTCAGACTTTGGAGGCAGCAGAGAGCGCAGACTGTAGTCTGATGGATCAGAACATCTTGCAGGTTATTTCTACTCTGGCCAAGGCTGGACATCACCAGCACATACCAGCGATGATTGAACTCCTGAGGCACGATGTCGGTTTTGTACCAGGTACTCACATACACACATATATATAGTTTTTTCTACACCAGTCACTGTGGAAGTCAGCAGCAAGACTGACATCAGTTTGCAGTGTTCCTTGTTAACATGGAAGTTAAGCAAAATAATTTGTCCTCTTTCTAGATGCCATGAACACGACTCTGAACCTCATCACCGAAGGACATGAAGATATAGCTTTCAGCATCATAAAGAGCTTCCCTTTAAATGAAGATGGGGATTCCAACACGGGAAACTTCTTCCTCAAGCACTGCATCAACATGGACAAGGTAAATTAAAAAAAATTGAATAAAATCTGAAAATGATTTTAAAAGTCTTTTATTTATGCTTTCAGAATGTGATCTATGACTATTGATTACCTCTCACTGACAGGAAATGTTAAGTTTTCAGTTTGATGATCAGATATAATTTTTGTGTACTGCAGCCACTGGAGAAGGTTGTCTTATACTGCAAAGAGCTTGAGGAGCTGAAACTGCACAGTGCACCATTGACCTTTGCTCTTTTATGTGCTCTGGAGGCCAACAAAACTGGTAACATATTTATGAGTTGACAGAAACACTGCTATTTAGGTTCTGTCGTTTTGCTGAGTAACTAAATGTGTTGTGTTCTTCCCTTTTTTGCAGCTATGGCTTTAGAGCTGATGGAGAAATTGAAGGAGCGGAACTTTCCTATAAGGCTGCATTACTTCTGGCCCCTTCTCACACAGCAACTAAAAGAGAACAACGTAGCCGGTACACACACACGAAAACAGCCAAAGATTGTAAAATTTATACTTAACCATCAAGGTGGATATGTGGTGACACCATTTGTAATACACAACAGTATAATGAAGCCCCAATTTTTCAGTAATGTTCTTAGAGTACCTAATGAGTTGTGTTGGTATCATCTAGGACTCTGTGATTCAATACGAGTTTTGATACAGAGCTCACGATACAATATGATTCTCGAAACAGTACAGCTTGATTTCATTTTATACTTATTTCTTTATACTTAATGGTACTGACCCAACAAAGCCAGCAAAGTATTACAATATATATATTTATAGTTAAAAAAACCAAACCGTCTGCAAACTGAAACACAAGTTTTCCAGGCTTCACTGTTTTGCACTCTGAAGCTTGGACAAGCAGTGGGAAAAAAAATGAATCGACAGACCTTAATCTAGAGCTGTTTTATTTTAAGTTACACTTAAAGTTGCATCATTTTAGTAAAGGCGTAGAGGGGATTATAACATCCCCTGTACCAGAAAGAGCTTTTAAAGGAGAGCATGCCTCAAATATTTATGAGCGAGCGAGAGAACCAACTGGGACAGATTTCACTGGGCTGGACCGGTGAAGGGCACACAGGTCTGATCGCTGCGTGAGAGGGCTGGAGCGGGTGGAGTTAAAACCAACACATCAACACTGACTCACAAATCTACACATGGCTCTCTCCGGAGAACTTTTGAATAAATCACAAAAGACTTAAAATGACATCCCAACTTTACATTTCCTGCACTTTCCAAAAGTTTTCCTAGACGTGAACGCTACAGTTAAGGGAAACTAGAATTGAGCGGAACTGTGTAGGATGTAGGGATGTCCCGATACCACTTTTTCACTTCCGATACGATACCGATATTACAACTTTGAGAATTGTCCGATACCGATATTGACCGATACCGACATTGACCCGTTACCATAACAGTACAAGTCACACACTTTTACCTATTTTGTAATGTAAAATCTTAGAAAAGTCTTGATCAGGTCAAACAGTGAAAAAGAGTATGTATAAGAAAAACTGACCCATTTATTTTTAACCAATGGATCACATACATTTTAAACTGAAGAACATTCTACAATTTAATAAAAAAATGAAATTAAAACACAATCAAAACAAAATGTACTTTTAAAGTATAAATTCAAAATCACTTCGGTTATTGTTTTACTACCTGTCAGCCTGGTGCTGTTTTATGGTGGAAAAAAAACTGAAGGTGGGGGACAAAACAAAACCCCACATTATTGTCTGTACAAAGTTAAGAGTCCACAGCTCCAATTTTACTGACTGTAACCAAAACAACATGATCATTGCACTTAATCTTCACTCAAACAAGTGTGTAAACAGATTAAACATCACTCTAATAACAAGAGCAAAAAATAAATAGTAAGAATTAGACAGTTATTTAAATTGATAGCTAGCTTTCTTACTGCTGCATTTTCTGAGCATCATGTGAAGATTAGCCTCTCGCTCCTGCAGGGAGCAGTTTTTTAGCACTGCTCTCGTCATGTCGCGCTCATATTCCAAAACAAAAGCTGCGCTCTCCTTTCTTCTGTCCATCAAGAGCTAATCCACRGRATGTCAAAACTGTAAGCGTGCTGTCCTCGCTTCTGCCAGCTTAGAACCACCGACCGGACCAGAGAGGAGGTTCCGAAACAGCGCGGCTGTGTGCGGTCACTGGACCGAGGCTGAACGAACCGAGCCAAAATGCAAAAGCTGCTGCCAGGGTGGAGAGTAGTTGTCGCTCCGGTTTAAAACGTTCACGGTTCTGTTCCCCCTCGGAAAACTTGTGCATGACAACTTTGCACTTAGCTGCGACTCTTGTTTCTGATGAAAATAGAAAGTTCTGCCGACATTCTTGCTAACTTGTTAGCGCAGCATGTTGTTGTGATCATGTGAGCTCTGCATGCTGGATCCAAGCGCTGCTGGATAGAAACACTGGAGCCGAGTCAGTGGACTGCTGGATTGAACTGCTTATATCGGAGCGCTTATATCGGACATTTTTTATGCAGGCCGATAAAATCCGATACTCACTTTTTGGCTGATATCGGACCGATATCAATATCGGATCGGGACACCCCTAGTAGGAAGGCATGGGCCAGGCTAGGTGCTGCGTAGATATCTTTATATTCTGTTAGAGTCTTATTTTTCTTTATTTACTTTGACATTTTCAAAATGAGTTGTCCTCAGAAAAGTGGTGAAATAGGGGCTTGTGCAGTTGCTATAAAGAGGAATTCAGACCAAAACATTGCAGCTCCATTTTATATAGACCCTAACGGAATGATTTTAAATGTGAAAAAGAAGAAACTTTGTTGCATATTAGGTTTATTAAAACTTGTTAAATTCGTGAAAAGACGAATCAGGGAGCACATTCTTTTAACAAGTACTGGAGTAATTGCAACAGTTAAACTTCAATGAGAAAAGTATTGAAAATGCTTTAAATCCTGAAACAGTGTGTTAGTTTTGTGAAGGTGAATCATCTCCATCACACATGGCTTTTATCTTGAGACTTGTCAGAATTCACAACTCATTAGTAAAAGCACTCTGTCAGATGTGTTCAGCAGCAGCTTGGTTTTTAAGTGCTTGATGTTTGCTGAGCTCTGAGTCTCTCTTTGGGGTTTTTTGGAGCAATTAATAAGTGATGGAGTTTCCTCTTGTCGGCCAGTTGACAGCATTTGAACTGGCAGGGAGGTGAAAACTGGTCAGAGCATTGTGGCAACGCTGCAAATTGAATCTTCCGTGTGGTCGAGACGGATTCGGAGTTTGACTGGTGAGATATCTCAGACTAGAGGAATGGACTGGGTATGAGTTCAAATAACCAGACAGTCTCACAGATGCAAACTCTGTCTAAAATTCTGCCACCGCACCGTCTGACAGCTAACACACATCACAGACAGCAGCCATTTAGATATCACAGAGCAGAAGAAGGAAAGACGGATTAAAAAAAACAAAAAGTGGAGAAACTTCTGTCTCACTCGCTCACTTGTTTCCGACGGTGTTCGCCTTAACCCTCATGAATCATGCAGCTTCTTTTCCTCTCTCTCCCCCGCTGTTTCCTCCTCAGTTCTATTGGCTGTAGGAGGTGTGTGTGTTGGGGGAGGGGAGTTGACTTTCGGAGGGCAGTGCAGGTGATGTGACTGATGCAGAGTGACTTGATTTCATGTAAATGCAAGCGCTCTGAGGGAATTCACTTTGGATTACGCGCCCCACTGTGCATGCTCCATGAAATATTAAGGGCTGTGTCACTTTTTGTCCACAGGTGTCACTAGCGGGCAGAGAGGTCCAAGCTGAGGGGAGCTATAGGGGGAGGGGAGGGAGGAAAAAAAACTCCCCTTACATGTTGATGAGGTGTGGATTTGGTGGGTTTAGTGAAAGCATATGCTCGCTCGTTTTTACCACCTGCCGCCAGCTAGTTACCGCTTGTCAGTCGTGGCGACGCAGTGCGCTCTTATCACTTCTGACATGCAGGGAAAGAAAGGGAGAGGAAGGGGAAACTTCAGAGGAAGCTCAGTTTTCTTCCCTTTAAGCNACTTACAGTTCTCCTCAGGACGGTTCACACTTCCAGCAAAACAGCTTTCTGTCAGGTGATGAGACAAGGATTTTGTTACGTTTATATATAGATGATTTTGAAGTTTGCAATCCTCTGGGTACTTCTCGCAGGAAACATAAACTTTGTGGAATCTACTGGACTCTGACTAATTTACCTCCAGGCTCATGCTCATCACTATCATCAATTTACTTGGCGGTGTTGTGTAAAACTAATGATCTAAATAAGTATGGTTATGACAGTGTTTTACGTCCTCTTCTTCATGACATAAGAACTCTGGAGCAAGATGGTGTTTTCATTCCATTACTTGGTAGATGTCTTAAAGGTACAATTCAGTTTGTCGTGGCTGATAACTTGGGGGCTCACAGTATTGCAGGTTTTAACGAGAGCTTTTCTAGTGGGTACATCTGCCGATTTTGCACAGGAACAAGATCAGACATCCAAACAAAAGAGGTAAAATCGGGTGCATTCACCCTCAGGACAAAGGAACTCCATGACTCTTTTGTGACCTCAGCTAAGGAGAATGGCACAAGCTGTTTTGGAGTGAAAAGAAGTTGTCCTATCACCAAAGCTCTTGCCCACTTCAATGTTCTCACAGGTTATCCTCCAGATATAATGCACGATCTGTTTGAAGGCATAATACCTGTGGAGCTTGCACGGTGTTTGTCTATGCTTATATCCAAGAAGTATTTCAGTCTTAAAACCCTCAACAAATCTATCTTGCATTTCCCTTTCAAGTGGGCTGATAAGACAAACAGGCCACATGTTATCCCAGATGGATTTTCAGCTAAGTCAACAATAGGTGGAAACGCCCATGAAAATTGGACTTTGTTAAGACTACTCCCATTCATAATTGGTCACCTGGTGCCTGAGGGTGAAATGGCTTGGCAAATACTGTTGGACTTAAAAGACATTGTTGAGCTTGTGGTTGCTCCAACACACACAGATGAGTCCATTGGCTACCTTGAGGGGAAAATTTCTGAGCACAGAGAAAAATACAAAGAACTTTTCCCTGATGTGAAACTGCTCCCAAAGCATCATTATTTAGAGCACTACCCTCAACTGATAAGGATGTTTGGGCCTCTTGTTGAACTCTGGACTATGCGCTTTGAGGCAAAGCACAGTTTTTTCAAGCAGGTTGTGCGACACACCAATTGCTTTAAAAATGTGCCCCTCTCACTAGCTACTAAGCATCAGCTCATGATTTCATATCACTTGAAATCCAGTTTTGAAAAAACATCCCTACAGGTTACAAATGTGTCAACTGTCCCTCTGGATGTTTTGAAACAAGAAATAGCTCAGACGATTGAAAAGAAATTCCCTGGTACAACTGAAGTTCACCTTTCCAAGTGGGTGTCAAACAACGGTGTCAATTTCAGAAAGGGAATGATAGTTACTCATGGGTCCACAAGTGGACTTCCTGATTTTGCAGAGATTCTTCAGATTTGTGTTGTTCAGGAGAGACTGTGTTTCATGGTCAGAAGGCTTTATGGGTGGTACATGGAACATTTCAGAGCCTTTGAGCTTAGTGTAGGTCAAACAAGAGAAACTGTTCTGATTGAACTTAGTGAACTGGCTGATGACTACCCTTTGGCAGACTACTTTGTTGGCCCCCTGAGACTCGTGACATTAAGAAGACACATAAGGTTTGTTTTTTCATATATTGATTTCATCTTAATTTACTTGTATTTAGGGGACAACTGAGACCTCAAAATGTTGCATTTCTGTCACAGCTCTTATGTGTATATATATATATATATATA